CATCAAAGATGAGAAATTCTGTGTCTGTGTATCAGGCTTTTGTATGCTACACTCTCCAAAGCACGGACTGATGATCCTACCTATCTGTTGCTCAGTTAACAAAGCCAGCAAACCAACCAAAGGTTATCCCAGAACTAAGCCAGTTCTCATGAAATCCACAATCACTATATTTTAAGATAAGCAGCACAGAACATTTTCCCACAGTACTGAAAAAGGGGACAAATATAAACCCAGAGAAGTGAAAAAAAGCATAGTGTAATGGATAAGCTCTGTACTGCTGAATATGAACTACAGACATGAAGCATGGGTGAAGATGGAAGTCTTTCAATTGTATTTGGGCAAGTAAACTACAAATCAAGAAACACTGATTAGACAAGATTTCTCACTCCTGCTCTATAAGAACACATAAACCTCCACATTAACGGCCATTTCTCACGTAAGTAGGTATTAATTAAAACATTCATGTATAGTTGGGAAATAATCTCTTGTTTTACATGCTTTTTAACTTCAGTGTTTCTACTTCTTTCAGTTCAAAAGAAACAGTATCATAGCAAGCAAATTAAACTGTAAGCAAAAGTCTGCCTAATCAGTGAGAATCCAGTCACCAATTTTTGTTCCACACTGCACATTAAAAAACCAGGGGAGGAAACCCAGGACTTTCTTCCTCTTTAACTATAAAAGTTAAAGGCTCCTATTCAGCACTGTTAAACTATAAAAAGGAAACTGGACAATTGTATGGATCACTCACTAAATATAAACGCTTACCATCGTAGCCATATCAAAAATCAGAAGGAAATGCTTTTGTGAAGACAGCTACAAATGACAAAGAGTGAGATCTCCTAGATTCTATGGATAAACTCAACATCATGACAGCCTTACAGTTAGAAAAGATAAAAATCAGTGTTTCTCAGAGTCTAGAATGTTTTAACGGAAGCACAGCATTTCTCTATCTCTGGAATTCATTCACTGAACTAAGCTTTTGAAAGAAAACTCAGGACCCTAGGAAAAGCTACTGACTTGAATCTATGTTTTGAAGATGAGTGCCCAATAAGATGTAGGCTTTGAGAGAAAGGCAGATCACAAGCAAAAAGCTAACCAGCTTCATTTTCAACAATTAGGGCAATGTGACAATAAGCGCTAGCAAACTTATGTCAGTCCTTACCCTTCCACCCACACCTCTATATGAAAGTTTACTGTAACTTCCAATGCATGTCAAAAACATGAATAGCATCATCCCTAAGAAAAGATCTTGCAATTTGCATACTATTAAGGAAGAGTCTTAGAGGAAAGTCGTGAGACAGTACCTCATAAAGTAGGAGAGAGGCATATAAATTTTTGTTGGAAAACCGACAGCATATCTATTTCTAAAACAGTCTGACCAACAAATACCCACACCCAAAGCATTTTGTTCGCCACGTTTCTCTAAGGCAATTTTTACAAAACTTGTACATCAGTGAACTTCAGATCTGCCCAGGATTGCTTAGATGATGTTCTCAAGTAAACACCCTCACTATCTGAGAGGAATGCTTGTTTCAAAGTTACAAATTCAGACAACCTTTGTCTGCTTTGTCATGTAGGCCTATGGCAGCAACTACCATTCAAAAATGTTTTAATCTTTACTTAGAGGAAGAAAGGAAGAATAAAGTACCTGAAGAAATCACCAGTGAAGAGTTGCATTTTGCCAAAACCCCTTACTCCCTTTACTTGTAAAAATGTTTCATAAAGGTGAAAAGCTGCATCACCACTTTTTAAGCAATACTAAATAGGATAAAACTATCCTGAAAAAGAAAGTTAGTCTGAGATTATTTTTTTTTAAACAAGCAAGAAACAATACAAAAAGAGAGGCAAAGACAGTAAATGCAGTTTGTGTCTGGTGATAACTTTCTCACAGATCTACCTCGAGCAGACAAACACTGAATGAAGCTTTACTAGCCAACCCCAAATTTGACTTTTTTTTTTTTTAATCAGAAATATTCTGAAAAGAACATTTAACAAAGCATCAAGTTTAGAACATCTACACTAGACACTCAGTGGACAGAAAACAAGAAGGGAGATAAATAAGAAGAAAACGATGATGGAGAGGAAAAAGGACAAAATAAAAGAGCAACCAAAGAGAAACAGGTTTTTTCTATCGGGCTAGCAGAGATGGCAACACCATTTAGATGTCTGGATGGTTCTATCAAGGGTCTGCTTAGTCCCTCACAGAACAAGAAAGGTCACAGATTATGTAACTTTTACCAGCATCACCACCAGTGAAGGATGACCTAATATTGATTCAACTCTGGGCACTGCACACATTTTCTTCCCTTTTCTAGCCAACTTCAGCATTACAAAACTCTGTACTTACTAATCCAGGTTCGATATCCTGACAGCAATGGTAACTGGTTAATAACCATTCTGTTAAAGATAACCCAAACACGAAAGGCTTACAAGAGGCAAACAGAATAATTCCATATCAAAATTTGTATTTTACTAAGGAAGCACTGGTGCACAACACTGCAGACAGAGCACGCATATAATCCAACCTTTACCATAAATGTAGACACTTTTCTGCTTTTTTTTCCCTCTATCTACCCCACATTTCTTGTTTCTCTGTGCATGTTTCCTTTTTAAAAAAAGATATCTGGAACACTTAAATGACAAAGCTTTGGCCACTGTTAGCCCAACTCTGCTATCTCAGTCTCCATCACAAGTATCTCCCAATCTGACAGCATCATGGTCCTTCTAAAATGTATTGTATTTTACCATAAGGGTAACCTCATGACAATATAAGGCTGAAGATCTATTATTACTTGCAAATTTTCTACCCACAAACTAGCGAGACTACCTGCTCACATAAAACATAACCCTCTAGTTTACAAGTTTCACAGTTTTGTCATCTGTCATTGTTTATATTTTCTCCTGTTTCTGTAAATAACCTTAAATCTACAACTTTCCTTATAGAGACTCAAAACCAAACATGAATGGCATCTGCAAGTCAACAGATGCTGTATACATGAAAGTATGTTTCCAGACTTCAGGAAGACATTCTTTAATGTTGAGAAAGTATCCTAATTATGGACTCCATTCTTCTCATTGACTCTTAAATAAAAGACCTCAACACTTTGGATTTGGATATAAGAGAAGTTAACAAGCAATTAAAAAAAAAACCAAACCAACACAACAAGGTGCTGCATTCTGCATAATTTTGCATTTGAACTCAGTAAGTTACTTCGGCTAAACAATGAGCAAACTTTCTATTTCTCTAAGCCATTGTACCTGTCTTAATTTGTCACAAGTGAAGACATATATGTTTGTTTCTAGACAGGAAACTAGCAATACACACAAACACAAACATCTACGAAGCAAAACTAAATATGGTAACTTACTAAAACCAAAATTGAATGCAATGGAACTAAGCCACACAACAAGCATTATTCACTCCATATTAATATAGTCAGTAGAACCATGTGCATCAACCTTGACAACAGACAAGACTAACAAGATACCCAAATAATTTTTTTTTATGTTTTCATTTGAAAGTTAACACACAACTTTGTTCCTAATTAATTCAAGGGAGTTACTCCTAAGTGAATTTAAATTCCATCTGAATACTACCATAAGGTGCAATAATGGTAATTTCTAAACTGAGTATAGCAGGTCTAATAGGAACATAAATCTATATGCCTGTGCTGATAAGCCCACAAGTATAAACTGCTAACAAAACAAACATATGGCTATGATCTTAATTAGAAAAGCTAAAGAAGTCGTGTTATGTTAATTATCTAATTTCTGATCACTGAGCTATTCTAAATGATTAAACCAAAAAGTAATGCTCATACCTAACCTTTCCATTGCTACACATTCCCCCATACACCAGCCAAGAAGCAATTATTAGATCATTTCTAGGGGAAAAATTCAGAAGAGTAAATTTTTAAATCTGCTGTTTCCACAGCTGAAACAGCAGAAACAATGGAATTGCAAATTATGAAACAAAGTTATAAGAGTTTAATAGTGCTCAAACAGGATTTATAGTATAAAATAAAAACCTATGTGTTTTAAAAGATGATATGAATCTATTGTGGAACTTAATAATTATTTAAATTACTGTAACACCATATTCTGGGAACATTTACAGGTGAAAGTTATTACAACTCACTGACCGACAGAAAATAATAATCCAAGTTCCACAGCAGGAAGGTGCACAAAATAGGCAAAGAGCATTCTGTTAGCAGACATCTCCTTCTCACTTTAACTTTTTACAATAACACCTAATTGCACACATGGCCTAGCTGTCAGGAACAAAAGCTACAAACTCCCCTAGTTTGACTTCTGCATCTGGTCAAGCCTGCTCTGTCCTTATCAAGGATATGGCTGCCTGAAATTTGAAAGCAACGCTAAGGATTTCCACTTCTCTTACACCGTGCTTCTCTAGCGCTTTACCCGCAAAATAACCCTACGGCCAAAGGCTTCTCGGGAAGGGCCGGACCCCGGCGGCAGCTCGGCCCCGGCGGCGGGGGTTCAGCACCCGGGCGGGGGACAGCGCCGGCCGCCACGGGGCTCCCCCCGCCCCGCCGGGGGCTCCCACGGCCCCGGCTCCGTCCGCTGCCCGCGGGCAGGGACCCATTTCTGAACGAGGCGTGAGACGGAGGCGTCCGGGCTAAAAAAATTGGCCGGGTTTAATAAATAACTTTCGGGTTAACTCCAGGCCTCCTCTCCCCTTCCACTCCGAACGTTTCCGACTCACAACGCTGCTTTCCACGAACAGTCATGTCTCCTCAGGCTCCCGGTAACAGCTGCTGAGCTCGACGCACAAAAATTTCACTAAAATCTCTCGCCCCTTCCTTCACCAGAAACGCTATTTACGCCCGTATACACCCGAACCCCCCGAGGCTCCATTTCTGGGCGTACCGCGCTCCCACCGGAGTGCCGAGCGGCACGGTAACACCGGCACAACCGCAAAGGTCCCGTCCCCCCCCCCGCAAAGGCCGAAGAAACCCCGAAGCCCGAAACACACCTACCGGCTACGGCCCTGGGCACCATCCTGTGCAGCCATCGCATGTCATGTGCCAGGGGCTTATTAAAGGCTGCTCCATGCGCTGCGAGCACTACCATCATACGTGCCCTCCTCCTCCCCGCAGAAAGCACACAGGCACACGCATCCCCCCCTCCCCCCCAAAAGTAAGAGGGGGAAGGGAAGGAGTCATCCTAAAGGTGTGTCTGCCGTGCCACGCTCAAAGGCATCCCCGGGGGCAGGGAGCTCAGGCCGCCTCCCGCCGCCGCCTGGGGAAGGCAGGCCCGGCTCCCGCCGGCCCGCAGCCTGCGCC